TAAGTCAGATCTGGTCTCAAAACCACCAAGAATAACCAAACATGACCGGTAAACGCTATCCACAACAAAAGAATCTCCCACAGAAGTAGAAACATAAACTGGGGAACTCAAAGAATCCCGAGGTACCCCCAAATGCAGAGCAAAATAAGAAGATACATAAGAGTAAGTGGAGCCTGGATCGAATAGAACCGATGAATCTCTGTGACAAACCAAGATAGTACCTGTGATGACAGAATCGGAGGCAGCGGCCTCGGTACGGCCTGGAAGATAAAATATCTGGCCTGGCCTCCCCCTCGAGGGCGACCTCTACCTCCCCGACCTCCACCTCTGGCTGGCTGGGCCGGTAGAGTAGCAGCTGGTGCTGGAACCACAGCATGAGAGCTCTGTGAGGCCTGCTGTGGCTGAGGGGTCTGCGGAGGTGCACCCCTCCTGAGTCTGGGGCAATCCCTCACCATATGGCGTGTGTCACCACACTCAATACAAGCTTTGGGAGGACGTGGCAGCTGTGACTGGCTCGGGCCAGGTCTGCTGGACTAACCACTAGAAGCACCCCGTGCAGGAGGCGCACTATAGACGGGAGGTGCATAATAAGGCTCCTGAGGCCTAGGTGGAGCTGGAATATCACTGGCTGCTTGAAGAGCTGAATGAACGGGGCGACCCATATGACCCCTACCATGACGACCTGCAGCTGGGGCACGGGCACCAGAAAAATGGCCCGACTCTCGAGACCTCTTGGCCTCCCTCTCCTCCTTGTCCCTAGCGTGCATACCCTCAATCCTCCTAGCAATGCTCACCGCCTGCTGATAAGACACATCCGTCTCTAACTCACGAGCCATGCTAGATCTGATGCTGGGAATAAGCCCCTCAATGAACCGGGGAACCTTCTCGCGGACCGTAGAAACTGAAGCTGGGGCATGTCTAGCCAAGTCAATGTAACGGACAGCATACTCCGAGACAGTCATAGTACTCTGGTGCAAACGCTCAAACTCCGCGCGCCAGGCATCCCTAAGACTCTGGGGGACATACTCCCTCGTGAACATATCTGAAAACTGAGCCCAAGTCAGGAAAGCTGCCTCATCCGGGCTGTCTAACTCATAAGCACGCCACCACTGATAGGCGGCTCCTCAAAGCTGGAAAGTAGTGAAGGAAACCCCGCTCGATCCTGATATGCCCATAGTGCGGAGAATACGGTAGCACTCCTCCAGAAATCCCAAGGCATCCTATGATGCTAACCCACTGAATACCGGAGGATCATATTTCATGAACCTCTCAAGTCTCCGCTGCTCATCCTCTGAAGCCGCTGCCCTATCCTCGGGCTGAACTAGTACTGCAGGCGGCGCAGGTATAACCTCTGGGACCTGCTCAACTTGCACTCGCTGCTTAGGAGTGCGGGCGGCGGGAGTCTGTACTCCTCCCCCGACCTGGGATGTGGCTGCAGCAAGGGGAAGCAACCCTGCCTGAGCCAAAGTGGTGTAAATACTCATAAACTGTGCAAAAGTCTCCTGGAGTGCTGGAGTAGTAGTGGCAGACGTATCGGGTGTCTGGACTCCGGCTGGTACTGCTGGTGGTGCCCCGGCGGCAGCTCGCGAGGGTGCTCTGGCTGCACCACGAGCGCGTCCTCGGCCTCTACCCCGGCCCCGGCCCCGGCCTCTGGCGGCTGCAGTAGGGGGCGCGGGTGCCTGATCCTCTCGGGTAGTGTGTGTCCTCACCATCTGTGAGAGAATAGAAAGACAGAAGTTTAGTTGTGATGTCAAAAATCTCGCACGACAAGGAAATCAAATGAAGTGGAATTTTTCCTAACAGTTACATACCCTCTCGTAGATAAGTACAGACGTCTCTGTACAGATCAGCAAGACTCTAATAAACTGGCCTGTGTTCCGTGACTCCTATGAACCTAGAGCTCTGATACCAACTTGTCACGGCCCCAGTTCGCCCTCCGTGAACTGTCGTGACGGCACCTAGTCCCTACGACTAGGTAAGCGTAACAAGTGCGGAAAAACAATCGAAACCTTGCCGAAATTATAACTTAAACCAAGATTTAACAAAAAGGAAAACGAAATGATAAGTGCCACTCGGCACATACGGCACAATATCTCAATCTTCTACAATACTATCCCAAAACCCGAAAACTCATAGAAACACAAGCTGAGGAAAATATAGTAAAAATGCTCTAACTTCGGAATGTCTACATCAACAGTATGATAGAAGGGCTAATACTACAAGATAGAATAAAGATGGAGAATCTTCGGTCTGCGGACGCGGCAGATGTACCTCAAAGTCTCCAAAAGCTCTCCCTGCCTCAAGGATGGTAAGTCTGTGCAGCAGTACCTGGATCTGCACATGAAAAACATGCGCAGAAAGGGCATGAGTACACCACAGCGGTACTCACTAAGTGCCAAGCCTAACCTCGGTTGGGTAGTCAAGAGGAAGGTCAGGGCCCTACTGAGGTTAAATAAGATACAGGTTTAACAGTGTGAAATGACAGTTAAATAACACAAGATATAAAGGACAGCAACAACTATTACAAGGCAAGGAAAAACACAGTAAAATAACATAACTCAACTCCGAGATAAACAACCGGGATCTCCCAGGATACCGTCCTGTAGTCCCCAAATATAAATATCATGTCTAGTGGATCTCTCGGGTGCAGTCCCGTAGTCCAACTCATAAATGTGCAGGGGGATCTCCCGGAATCAGTCCCAAAGTAAACATACAGGGGAGCTCCCGGGATACCGTCCCGTAGTCCCAAAGTAAAGTGCAGGGGGATCTCTCCTAATACCGTTTAGTAGTTCCAAAGTAAATACACAGCAACAACAAAAAATTCAATCCAATCAAATTCATATCAAGGTGAAGCAGGTAATCCTAACCTAGCATGATTCACGTAGTACAGTTTAAGACAGTTAAGACAGATAGAGCAGTTTAGTCAAGTAGACATGTTTCTCTAAGATACAACAGGTTTAATGTCCAAACAGTGTAAGCAAGGGAGGAAGAACACAATTCAAGGCTATTTCTAAAGAAAACCGGATTTCCAACAATTAGCACAAGTACGCGCTCGTCACCTCACGTACGAGGCATTTCAATTACCAGAATATCAATCCTAAGGGGAAAAGTCCCCCACACAAGGTTAGACAAGCCACTTACCTCGAATAAAGCTCAAATCAACTCGAAACCACGCCTTTGCCACGAGTATCCGACTCCAAATGGCCCAAATCTATTAAATTCAATTGCATATTATAAATAACATCTCAAGCAACTGATTCTACGATTTAATTCAAAGCTAATACGCGATTTTATGTAAAATGACCAAAATGCCCCTCAGTCCAACGTCTCGGAATCGGGTGAAATTTATATTTTCAGAAACCTCGTACTCTCACGAGTCTATACATAACAAGAACACTGAAATCGGAGTCCAAATAACCCCTCAAATCCCCAATTAAAGGTCTCTTAAACTCAAGCCCTAGTTACCCCTTTTCCCAAATTTCTCACCATTAATTAGGCCTTTAATCACATAAAAACGAGTTATGAAGTCAAGGACATTACCTCCAAGTGATTTCCTTTTGATTTCCTCAAAAACCCCTCTCAAAAGCTCCAAACCCGGATGAAAATGGTGGAAGAATAGCCAATTTTCGCAAAGGCAACTATTTATATGATCTGCCCAACTACTTCCTCATTTGCGGCCCTGGGACCGCATCTGCGGTCCCGTTTCTGCGGACAAATCCTCGCATCTGAGACTTTCATTATGACCAAGTTTCCGCATCTGCGGTCTTCCACTCGCAAATGTGTTTCTGCTTCTGCGGAAGATCCACCGCATCTGCGGAACCTGATGAACCAACCAAAATCCGCTTCTGCGGTCTCCTTAGCCGCATCTGCGGCACCGCATCTGCGGTCCCCGAACCGCAGATGCGAAAATATTAGAAGCAGCAAAAATCTGCAATCTCTTAACTTCAAAATCTTTCCGTCAACCATCCGAAATCATCTCGAGGCACCCAAGACCTCAACCAAAAGCACCAATAACACCTAATACTTCATTCAAACTTGTACCAGTCCTTAAACCACCTAAAACGACATCGGAAACTCGAATTAATCAAGGATTTAAGCCTAAGAACTCCAAACTTCCTCAAAATACGCTTTCGATCAAAAACCTAACCAAATCACGTCCGAATGACCTGAAATTTTACACACACATCCCAAATGACATGACGGAACTATTGCAACTTCCGGAATTCCATTCCGACCCTCGGATCAAAATCTCACTATCGGACCGGAAACTTCAAAAATTCAACCTTCGGCATTTCAAGCCAAAATTAGCTACGGACCTCCAAAACACAATCCAACCACGCCCCTAAACCTGAAATCACCTAACGGAGCTAACGGAACCATCAGATTTCCATTCCGAGGCCGTCTTCACACTGTTCCTACTATGGACCACTTTCCAACACTTAAGCTCTCATTTAGGGACTAAGTGTCCCAAAACTCTCCGAAACTCAAAATCGAACATCCCGGCAAATCAAAATAGCAAAAATAAACTTGGGGAAAGCAGTTAATAGGGGATTGGGGCGTAAATTCCAAAAACGACCGGCCGGGTCGTTATCGAAGATGGTTGGAACTTGTTGTGAAACCTCGGAACTTAAGTTTGCTAGCAATTTTGACATTCACTACTTGAGCGGAGAAAGGCACGAGTGAATAGGATTTTGAGCACGCAAGAGCCAATTGGTGCAAAGTGTGATACACGAGGGTTGAGCGACATCAAGTGAGTTGGTGAGGACTTTTACTACTAACTTGTTTGCTCCTTTTGTAGGTATCATGGAGTACGGACAAACTTCTAGTCCTACTTGTGATCCAAGGAGTGAGACTCCGATGCATGAAGTTGTTTCTATGCTTTATGACATAAGCGAGAAAGTTACCAACTTAAGTGAGAAGGTTATCAAGATTACCATATGACAACACCGAACGGATGCAAGGTTGAATTCCATGATAGAGGAATCTCACTTGAGGTAACAAGGAAAGGAGCATAGTATGACGCTTACTAATTCCTCTACTACGCCCTCTCCTTCACAAGTGCGACAAATGCTTCAAAAGGAAAATTTGCAACACAACCAACCCAACCAAATACCACAAAACTTACCAAAGCGACCACATTCACCAAGGGACCTTATTTTCCTCCACCAAACTACCGTACCTACCAACTACCAACACAAACCACCATTTAGACCTCAAGCACACATACTCATAATATCACCAACCCAAATGACCCAACCTAGACCACCAATGAATCTACCTCCCCAACGTATGCCTCAAGCACCACCAAGGAGTGACAATCTCGCTCCTCCACCACCCATACCACCTCAAGAGCCTCGAATGATTAACAACCCACTTTTTCAACATAATCATGAGACCACCTTGAATGAGTTGGACAACTTCCAATAAGTTTTCAATGTCGAATATAGGGGGGATGAAGTGAACCAAAGGGGAAGAGGCCAAATAAGTTTGAGAACATCCTTGAAAAATGCAAAGAGAAAACGTAAGGACGAGAGACAAAAGAAAGAGAGAAGTAAGGGAGAGAAAAGTGACAAACTCTAGAGTGAAAAAAGGAGAGGAAGTGTGGAGTGAAGTGAGTGAGTCATCACAAGAAAAAAGTGAATAGCTTGAAAAGAAAATGAGAGAAAAGAAAGAGGGAAAACAAAAAGAGAGTTGAGGATTTCCTTATTCTAATACTACTAACCTTTCTTCACGGATGCAATAAGTCTATGTTAGCAGCTGCGGCATCTTGCTGGGAGGGTTCAATTTCAGCAGCTTGCCGCAGCTTCAGACATTCACTATCAAATGCACTTGTCATCATTTTCTGCTTTGAAACTGCATTCCTGTGCAGCTTTCAAGGCCTCTTTTCTCAGCTCAGCCTCTTCAGGATCCTCTTCCTCTCCAGGTCTAGCTTCACTGGAACTTAATAACATTTCTTGGTCATTTGTCATTTCATCACCTAAAGTCACAACCTCAGATGATAAAGTTGATTTATTTTGCATGAAATAGCGTAAAGTTCAGTTTGAGATAGCAGAAAGTTGAGCCTCTGTTGTTGCCTCTTTGCTTCACGAAGCTCCTGTTCACGCTTCAAAGCCTCTGCAGCTTCTTTTTCCTCCCCTTTCCTTACTTCTGCCTGCAACATTAAAAATTTACATCTTAGGAAGTCCTCTTGTCAAACAGTCAACAGCAGAAACTCGTGAAGAAGTATGTTCTTTTATTATATTCAGTCTTCTAGAGGAAACACGACTAAGGACATGCATCTTTATGAGTCCTTAATCCTGATAAATGTACACTTTCTTTTCTCATAAGTGTATCAATACTCCATTGCATAGCTTTAGCAGGTAAACCAACATATAACCCAAAAAAATATTGGCTGAAAAGAAACTCTTACGGCAACAATATCATCAATCTAACATGTCGTTATCATATAAAATAGGGACAGAACTAGAGAGCCAGAATAGGTGAATATACTTTATCACCTTTCATTACTTCTTCAGGATAGTACAGGCTAAGATGAATATACAATGTGGTAATAGTCTGAAAACCATCAAAATAAAGAGCTGCATCTTTGCTAATTAAGAATGCAGCTAACCATGCTTGAAAAAAGAATGGAGGTAACCATGGCTGACTTTTCCTCCCTCCCTCCTCTCCGACTGCTCAGGTTGCTCTCGAATAGCAACTTCTCATACATACCATAATAGCAAAAAGTTCACTATGAAATAATGTCAAAAAGGTAGAATTTTAGTACCATCTCCTTGTCAACTCTCGTCCAAAACACGAGCATGTCCCTAGCAAGTTTCCTTGTACGAATTGTAGCACCTCTCATCACCTTAAGTGATCTGCTAACTTTCATTTTTATCTGAAAAAGGGAACCCACCACTCAAGTAAAACGTCCGAAAGACAACTAGCATGGAAATTTGCAGAATCGCACACAAATTTGTTCAACAAGATCCAGGACGTGCTTACCTCTCTCTGACAAGTTTCTGAAAACCTCTTGGCATAAGTCAATTGCTTCCTGTGGAAATTGATGAATATCTTATGATGTTTTGGGATTTCTTTCTTGACAAGGTTTATCCAATATTTTCCAATCTTATCCATTTCTTCCTTCTCAATCACAGAGGGATCCTTCTTCAGTTTTGGCTTTTTGGGTAGACTACGTTCAATAATCTACAGCTCCAAATGACCACTCATATGTAAGCAACATGACTGATGCCCATATAGCTATGAGATAAACAAAAACTGACTGCAATGCTAAAGAGGATTACTGACCTCATAGGTGTCTCCTTTCTCTAACACTTTCACATAATAAACCTGTAAGACACCACCCTCTGAGTTTTTAAGCTCCTCTGAGATATCGTCTTTGTTCTTTTGCTGAGAGATTGTAGTGGCACAAATTTTGTTGCTCCACTCTTTGACGGTACTGACTCGCTCTGTTTCGGTGTACCTTTAGGTCAACCATGCCTGTGGAATCAACAGTACAGACACCAGACATATTCAAGGGTACTCTTAAAGATATCAATTGAAAGGCCTCCAGTGGCTTGTAAATTGTTACGAGCAGGTAAGTTGTCATTTTCCTGAAAGTTGATCTTTTTGCTCAACCTCTATGGAGATTTTGCTTGGCTGGCTTATAACATTCAACTTTATCTGTCAGGGTTTAAATGGCATTCTTGCTGATGAGATGGGTCATGGCAAAACTATCCGGGCCATGGCTTTCTTGGCTCATTTGGCAGAAGTAAGCGATCTAGTTATTTCATGTTTTATTTATCAACTGTCTTGTAGTAAATTATCATATCAAAAATCTTTCTGGCTGAGAAGTCTAGTAACTTGGCTTCGTTGATCTCTGCAGGACAAGAATATATGGGTTCCCTTTTTAGTTGTTGCTCCTGCATCAGCCTTGAACAACTGGGCTGATGAAATTGGTCGTTTCTGCCCTGATCTAAAAACTCTTCCATATTGGGGAGGGTTACAAGAGCAAATGGTACTTCGGAAGAATATTAACCCAAAACGTCTATATCGACGGTAATTTCATTTGGCTTTGGTTATTACTATACATATTACAGGAGTAGTGGACTTGCCTACACTTTTGGTTCTTTCATGTCTCCCTCATTTCTTGAATTTGCTTTCTCTTTTTGATGAGGCAATATCATTATGGCATCAAGTAGATCCAAATAGCACAAAAGATAGTAAATTCAAAAGTGTGTTTGTTAGCTCCATATGGAGTTCTTGGAAAGTTAGTAGGTCCGTCAGGAAGATCTGGAAAGTGATTCCCTGCCTATATTTTTTGGTGTATTTGGACAGAAAGGAATTGAAGATGTTTTGATGGAACATCAACTCCTAATCCACACTCTCAAGGCTAATTGTCTTTTATTTTTATATAGCTGGAGTAATCTCTTTCCTGTAAACTCCACTGATAAGTTTTTGGATGAGGCAATATCATTAATGGCATCAAGTAGATCCATCTATTACCAAATGCCATTTTCCTTAGCATTGTGATGAGGAATTGCAGTTGAGTTGATCAAAGGCCTTCTCTATGTCCAACTTACATAGGATGCCTGATTCCCCTCTCTTCAGTTTCCAGTCAAGAACTTCGTTGGCAATTAAGGCTGCATCTGTGATTTGCCTGCCTTTGATTAAGGCATTTTGAAGTCCAGAAATAAGTTTCCTAATCACTTTTTTCAATCTTTCAGCCAGTAACTTTGCAGCTATTTTAAAGATACTTCCGATTAGGCTGATTGGTCTATAATCCTTTAGCTGAATTTGCTGTTCTTTTCTTGTTCATTGACATTCTTGCTTGGTAAGGCACTTTTAATTTGATGATAAATATTCATGAGGCAAATATTGCTTCATAAAACTGAGCTGCTTGAAGCATCAAAGTCAATCATAGGTTAGATGATGGTTTTTGGCTTGGGCACCTAGGAATATAAGCAGTATGACAAGTATAGCAAAGAAAGGGTGGGAAGGTTTGGGGGATGGGGGTATCAAATAAATGTCAAGAAGTCTGAGTTAATTAAATTTTTTAATCGAAGTTGTTAGTCAGAATAATGAGCAACTGCTTAACACGGGGAGGCTTGAGATCCTGATTTTGTAAAAATCCAATGGAATTTTTGGTGAACCAAGCTTATCTCGGTATTGAATTGCCCAATGCAGTTGGTTATGAAGTTGATAATTATATCTGAATTATAAAAAGCATTTCTTGTGCAGTGCAACCTCAATTGTTAGCATTTTGTTCCTCTTCTTGGTTATTTAACCAGACTTTGATTTCAGGGATGCTGGATTCCATATTCTCATTACCAGTTAACAACTGCTAGTCTCTGATGAGAAATACTTCAGATGTGTCAAATGGCAATACATGGTGCTGGATGAAGCTCAGGCAATCAAAAGCGCAAACAGGTCTGTGGTCCAGCCTTGAAAACCTTGTCCTACTGTTTGGTTTAACCACATTAATAAGATCATTTACTGAAATGTGGTGGAAGCTAAAGCGTCTAAGCAATTCCTTGTTGAGTACCAGGACCTTGCTTTCTAGTTGCTAGCAAACTTATTCAAAGTATTATTCTCGTTGGAAAGCTCACTAGCTACTGGGAGCAACAACATATCACTTTGATTTCCTTGTAAAGCCAAAACGTGCTGAACTCTACCTTCAATTATCTGAAAAACTTCTGGTCTGAGCTCAGAGCTGGTTTGCTAAAACTTGCACAATAAACGATTCTTTTTATAGTATATGGAGTCTTGTGGTACTGCTTCATGCTGAAGAAAATCATATACAACAGCTTTGCGTTTTCTCTTTCGCTCATATGATTCAGTGTCCGTATCATGTGACTGCACAGGTTATAAGTTGATCAACTTTTAATAAGATCTGTGTTGAATGTGTAATCATTACCGTGCAAAAGAATATCAAAAAATAACTATACCTTAACTAACCAAAATTAATCTTTCTCTAGTTGTTTTGCATCTTGTGAAGGAGTTTTTGGAGATGAGCCATCAAGTGAAGTTCAATCTACTTTGATGATCTTGGAAGAAGATCAAGCTACCTTTTCAAGAGAACTTTTGAAGTTTAATGAACAAGTTCAAGGTAAAGAGAATTTGATCTTGATGACTCTTATGCATATTTATGTGATGATTTTGTTGAGTGTAAAAAGGAAAATAAAGTTTTTGATGCTAGCACTAGTATTAGTTGCTTTACTTATCTTATTCCTACTTTTGAAAGAACATTCTCGTTGGATTTTGCTAATGTTTCCATGAGAAAAGGTAAGAATATTTCTTTTGTTATTTTGAGTGACCATTTTGAGCAAAAAGAACTTAACTTTATTGAATGTTTTGTGAAGGTTCAACAAGAGATAGTTGCTAAGGGTAAGAAAGGCCTTGACCTAACACTTTGGCATACTTTTTGTCAAGAGCTTTTTGTGTTTCCCAAAAGCAAGAATGGTATGTACGTTTGGCTTATGCTTATCTTGTGTTTATCTAAGGCCATTGAGGTAAAGACTTTTAGCTTTGAGTATTGTGATATTCTTTATATGACGATTCATGATGAGCTTGGCATATCTCTTAAAATGTCATGTGAAGTTGTTGGAAAGTGTGTAGATATTTGGGGATTAAAATTTGTATTTGACCCTGGAGTTGCTTCTTATAATGGCGAAGTGTCTTTCTTTGGGGTGGCGAGTTTGATTTTTATTTCTTCTTATGACACTTGGTTATACCATAAAAGTGTACACTTTCTTGAGGATTTGACAAGATTGTGGTTTTGTTGGAAGCATGAAATTTTACACTCTCTTGATTCTTCTTATGAGTATTATTTTTCTTATAGTCAAGTTTGTGTCATTTGTATTGGAGATGTGTTCTTTATAGATTATGACACTTGGCTATATCCAGAGTGTCACTTTTGAGAACAAGATTGTGATCTTTGATCTTTTAGGTACTTATGTTTGCCTCTTTCTTGGTTTAGCAAGGTCCAAATTCGAGGACGAATTTCTTTCAAGTGGGGGAAGATGAGACATGCTGGATGAGCATGCCTAACAATTTTCAAGTCAACATCGTAGCATTGGAGTGCTTTAAAGGAGTCAAGATGAAGAAGGTTATACTTGTAATAATTGACTAAGCTCATTAGAATTAGCTTAGGGTTACAATTGATTGAGTTCATAGAGGTAATTAGGCTTCATATCCTAATTGGTTCTTATTCTTCCAATCAACTGTAGGTCTAGCTCTTATTGTTGATTCCGTGTATTTTGCTATATCCGTATTTTCATTCATAGTTTGTATCACACGCCCGTCTCGTAGCATGCGCGTCACCTCAACATCTCACATAGCATGTAATTCGGGGTTTCATAACCTCAGAACCAAGTTAAGAAGTGTTACTTACCTCAACCCGTGCCAAACTCTACTCCAACAAGCCCTTGCCTAGCGAAACGTCGTCCGAATGTCTCGAATCCCAATCACTCCCTTGAAAATCTCTCCAAGAATCGCCTCCAACCGAGCTCCCAAAATCAAATTTGTGAAATAAACTCAAACCCTCATTTTTGAAATATTTAAGTCTGCCTAAATGTCCTTAATCGTGATCGCAGAAATGCTTCGCAATTGCGAAGCAAAACTATGCTTCCCCAAAATTTAACGCTATGCGAACGCGTCAATCCCTACGCGAACGCGAAGAAATGATTCCTCAAACTACGCGATCGCGTCCCTCTTCACGCGATCACGAAGAACAAACGCGTGACCTCGGCTGCTGCCTCCTATACTCTACGCGAACGCGACATTGGCCACGCATTCGCGATTCATTGCTCCCCACAACTACGCGATCACAGTCCCCAACTCGCGAACGCGTAGATCAAAGACCTCAGCTGCCCAATTAAGCCTACGCGATCGCGTATAACGAAATCAGACCTGTGCACCAAAAAATTTCAGCAAATCTCCAAGTCCAAAATTCGACCCGTTGACCATCCGAAATCCACGCGAGGCCCCCGGGACCTCAACCAAACACACCAACAAGTCCAAAAACACGATACGTACTAAGTCGAGCCTTCAAATCAAATCAAACAACGCTAAAACCATGAACCGCGCATCGATTCAAGCCTAATGAACTTTTGAACTTCTAACTACTACATTTGATGTCGAAACCAATCAAATTACGTTCGATTGACCTCAAATTTTGTACACAAGTCATAAATGACACAACGGACCTACTCCAACTCCCGGAACTAGGTAACCACAAAGTCAACTCTCGGTCAAACTTCTCAATTTCCAAAACTTTTAATTTTCAACTTTCGCCATTTCAAGCCTAAATCAACTACGGACCTCCAAATCACTATTCGGACACACTCCTAAGTCCAAAATTACCCAACGAACCTATCAGAACCATCAAAACTTCATTCCGGAGTCGTTTATACATAAGTCAACACCCGGTCAACCTTCTCAACTTAAGCTTCCAACCTTGAGACTAAACGTCTCAACCCATTCCGAAACCTCCCCGGAATCGAACCAACTACCTCGGCAAGTTGTCACACCTCCTTTTTCACTACTACACCCCGTGAAGGGTATAATAAAAGAAGTTTTTCCACTTAAAGGACAATCAGAACGGGATTT